GCTGCATGTGACTGCATGGAGGGTGTCACCCGGGGCGCTGCATGGAGGGTGTCACCCGGGGCGCTGCATGGAGGGTGTCACCCGGGGCGCTGCATGGAGGGTGTCACCCAGGGCGCTGCATGTCACTGCATGGAGGGTGCTCAGTGATACGGGAATGGGAAATTCTGTCCATTAAATACAATGAAATGTCTCATTGTATTTAATGGACAGAATTTCCCATTCCCGTATCACTGAGCACCCTCCATGCAGTGACATGCAGCGCCCTGGGTGACACCCTCCATGCAGCGCCCCGGGTGACACCCTCCATGCAGCGCCCCGGGTGACACCCTCCATGCAGCGCCCCGGGTGACACCCTCCATGCAGTCACATGCAGCGCCCTGGGTGACACCCTCCATGCAGCGCCCGGGTGACACCCTCCATGCAGTTGGCATCTCTCGGGAATGTTGAAACATTTTCACTATATAAGAATAATAGAGATTAGTGAACTTTGTGCCGTAAAATTGATTCTTTTGCCTCTTTCTCCGTCTCTCTCAGAGGGTTAGAGAACTCCGGAGCCGAGAGAGTGAAATATAAGCAGGTTGTCAGTCTTTGTCCTTCAGCCTCATGTGACTTGCTGAAGCCGGGGTAAAACTTCGAGTATATGCCCAAAAACAGCCAGCGATGCCCCCGTGGTCTAAGCCCCGCCCCCTCCCACACGGACTGCCATGTTCTGCAGTCTCCCCGTCCTACAGACATAGCAGAGGTGGTGGGAAGTTGCAGACAATGTGGAAGGTCTCGGGCCGGCCTCTAGGAGGGTCTTATGTACGATGTAGTGTGACGTATCTACATGTTCCAGTGCAGTAGAGTCTCAGGCCGGGTTCACACCTAGGCGGATGGAATATGCGCGGTTCGCGTCGCGCGTTTCCGAGGGCTACTTGGCTGTTTCCCGATGGAAACGCCCCAAAGACGCACATGTACTTATATGGGCGTAGGGCGGTTTCCCGCGCGTTCGTACTCGCGGATGGGAAGCGGACCTTAGACATAGCACGCACCCCACTACAGCCTGACCCCGCGTCCACCTTCATATGGAGCCGATCACAAAGATGGCGGCACCTATAGTACATAAGCTCTGGTTCACACCCCGGCGGATGGAATATGCGCGGTTGTCGCACTGGGTTTTTTTACCGCGATTAGCGACGAACGCGCGTTTCCGAAGGCTATTTGGCTGTATCCCAATGGAAACGCGCAACAAAACGACCCAAAGTAGCACCGGCACCTTTCCAGGCGCGGGGCGCTTTGTAGCGCGTTAGGGACGGGCGGGCGCCGAGGTGGGAACCAGACCATTGACTACAATGCGATTTATAGTTTTGAGCGTTTTGTAGAGCGTTCGCCGAGCGTAGAACCCGCCGCAAGACGTTCCGGTGTGAACGAGGCCTTAGTGTCATTTCCTGGTAGGTTTCTATGGTCGGTCTCTGACTGATGCGTCATCAAACCCCTACTGGTCAGTGAGCGCACACAGGTCAGGATTATGGGCAGGCCCGGCGCTACCGCAAGGCAAGTCAGGCGGCCGCAGGGTGAGGGCGCACATGGCCCGTGTAGGCAAGGATCCTAGCACCGGCACTGATTATGGGATAGACAAAGCCGCGCCTCCCTTCGTTCACCGAGGATCCCGCCCCCTGGAATAGGACAAATCACTGGCCGGGAATTCCTCCTCTACGAGTTCCCGCCAGACATTTACATGCTCAGGACACGAGGTTTATCCTGCGATAGGATTTCCAGCGGCAGTTTCTCCGGTATGTTCCGGTCACGTTGCGCTGTCATTGTCCTCAGGTGTCACCGGGCCTTCTATCTCCGACACGTGAGCAGGCCGGGCCCCCCGACTCTCAGGGCCCCTCGTCCCTGAACTTCCTATTATAGTTTATGTCCCACCGACACCTTCCACATGATTTGAGCCATCGCAGGCCGACACTTTCTAACCGTTAGCCCGCGGTCACACCGGAACGTCTTGCGGCGGGTTCTACGCTCGGCGAACGCTCTACAAAACGCTCCAACATCTAAATCGCGTTGTATTCAATGATCTGGTTCCCACCTCGGCGCCCGTCTCTAACGCGCTACAAAGCGGCCCGCGCCTGGGAAGGTGCCGGAGCTACTTTGCGGCATTTTTGTAGCGCGTTTCCATTGGGACACAGCCAAGCAGCCTTCGGAAACGCGCAATTTGTTTACCGCGAATCGCGCATATGCAATACGCCGAGGTGTGACCCAGGCCTGAGACACCACAGACGCGGCGCTGGGTCCGGTTCCTCCGGTGCGAGTCCACAAGGTGAATGTATTTCTTCCTCGGTCAGTATTAGCGTCTCACTTGCAGGGCCGGCAGCGCGAATCGATGTTGATGATTATTTCTTCCAGATGTCGGAGAAGAAGAGACTTGCGTGCGGCAGAATATTTCTCTCCATGTCTGTCTTGTAGCGTCCGTGTCCCCAGAGGTCTCTTTGTTGTCTTTGTTGTCTCCGCAGTACAGGGGCCTGTCGTTCCGTGTCTGTCCGTGTCGCTCTTCCTCCCCCACTGTCTGTTTCCTGGCATGTAGCTCTTCAGGTTCCCACATAGAAGCAGTGTTAGATGTCACGCGGTCTTCTGTCCACTGGCCTTCATGGTTCCCTCCCAGGCTTGGGGACACTCTCCATGGCGTCCTCCATGTGGACACCTCCCCCGTTTCCAAGTACAGGCATTCTGCAGGTCAGAGCTCTCCATGGCGTCCTCCATGTGGACACCTCCCCCGTTTCCAAGTGCAGGCATTCTGCAGGTCAGAGCTCTCCATGGCGTCCTCCATGTGGACACCTCCCCCGTTTCCAAGTGCAGGCATTCTGCAGGTCAGAGCTCTCCATGGCGTCCTCCATGTGGACACCTCCCCCGTTTCCAAGTGCAGGCATTCTGCAGGTCAATCACTGGCCGGGAATTCCTCCTCTACGAGTTCCCGCCAGACATTTACATGCTCAGGACACGAGGTTTATCCTGCGATAGGATTTCCAGCGGCAGTTTCTCCGGTATGTTCCGGTCACGTTGCGCTGTCATTGTCCTCAGGTGTCACCGGGCCTTCTATCTCCGACACGTGAGCAGGCCGGGCCCCCCGACTCTCAGGGCCCCTCGTCCCTGAACTTCCTATTATAGTTTATGTCCCACCGACACCTTCCACATGATTTGAGCCATCGCAGGCCGACACTTTCTAACCGTTAGCCCGCGGTCACACCGGAACGTCTTGCGGCGGGTTCTACGCTCGGCGAACGCTCTACAAAACGCTCCAACATCTAAATCGCGTTGTATTCAATGATCTGGTTCCCACCTCGGCGCCCGTCTCTAACGCGCTACAAAGCGGCCCGCGCCTGGGAAGGTGCCGGAGCTACTTTGCGGCATTTTTGTAGCGCGTTTCCATTGGGACACAGCCAAGCAGCCTTCGGAAACGCGCAATTTGTTTACCGCGAATCGCGCATATGCAATACGCCGAGGTGTGACCCAGGCCTGAGACACCACAGACGCGGCGCTGGGTCCGGTTCCTCCGGTGCGAGTCCACAAGGTGAATGTATTTCTTCCTCGGTCAGTATTAGCGTCTCACTTGCAGGGCCGGCAGCGCGAACCGATGTTGATGATTATTTCTTCCAGATGTCGGAGAAGAAGAGACTTGCGTGCGGCAGAATATTTCTCTCCATGTCTGTCTTGTAGCGTCCGTGTCCCCAGAGGTCTCTTTGTTGTCTTTGTTGTCTCCGCAGTACAGGGGCCTGTCGTTCCGTGTCTGTCCGTGTCGCTCTTCCTCCCCCACTGTCTGTTTCCTGGCATGTAGCTCTTCAGGTTCCCACATAGAAGCAGTGTTAGATGTCACGCGGTCTTCTGTCCACTGGCCTTCATGGTTCCCTCCCAGGCTTGGGGACACTCTCCATGGCGTCCTCCATGTGGACACCTCCCCCGTTTCCAAGTACAGGCATTCTGCAGGTCAGAGCTCTCCATGGCGTCCTCCATGTGGACACCTCCCCCGTTTCCAAGTGCAGGCATTCTGCAGGTCAGAGCTCTCCATGGCGTCCTCCATGTGGACACCTCCCCCGTTTCCAAGTGCAGGCATTCTGCAGGTCAAGTTTTTCATGCATGGCGGCAGGTCTGTGATAGTCTTAGCAGTGACATTCCAGCTTCCGACACCTCAGAATCCGAAGGAGCTGATGTAGGGACCCGAACCCAAGCAACCCCTCATGGAATAGGTGATGTAGGGACCCGAACCCAAGCAACCCCTCATGGAATAGGACCGCCCGTATATCAGGAACGGAGATTGCTTTGTGTCTTCAGCAGTTTGAAGCCGGTTTTGGGTTTACTCATCGGGGTCGTCTTTAGAGTTCTTCCCTCAGGATCCAAGTTGCAGCTGGTGGAGTTTATATTCCATCCGACAATTAGAGACTGCTGGAGGGGGTGCTGGAGGGGGTGCTGGAGGGGGTGCTGGAGGGGATGCTGGAGGGGATGCTGGAGGGGGTGCTGGAGGGGATGCTGGAGGGGGTGCTGGAGGGATGTTGGGCCTATACTCGAGTCTTTACCTTCTGTGCATGAGAAAATACAATGAGGATTTACATGTGAAACACTCAGCGTTTCACATGGTCCGGAGCGTAGCTGTGCCGTGCCAGTTCTTTGTGGTAACCGTGTGACCCCTCTGTGTGCCGTGGCATGTGCTTGTTCCCCGTCTGCTTGTGGCTGCTGTGCTTTTCCTGTTTGCATTTGACTCCATGTACCCCAAGTCTTCCTCACTGCTCTTCTAGGTTGTCACTTCTCAGGCACAACCAGGTTCCTCGATGTACGACTCTCTCCTGGACGTCCTGGGAACCTCCTTAGCTCCAGAATACCAGCGCTGCATTCACCCAACAAACATAGAATACCAGCGCTGCATTCACCCAACAAACATAGAATACCAGCGCTGCATTCACCCAACAAACATAGAATACCAGCGCTGCGTTCACCCAACAAACATAGAATACCAGCGCTGCATTCACCCAACAAACATAGAATACCAGCGCTGCATTCACCCAACAAACATAGAATACCAGCGCTGCATTCACCCAACAAACATAGAATACCAGCGCTGCATTCACCCAACAAACATAGAATACCAGCGCTGCATTCACCCAACAAACATAGAATACCAGCGCTGCGTTCACCCAACAAACATACCATTTAGGATTTTAGTGTCACAACATTTGTTGGATTCTCCGTTAGCTTGTTATTGTTGTTTGGGGACCCGAGTGGGGAGATTGTCTCGTCCTTTCCTGTCGCCGCCACCGTGACAGGAAGTGAGGGGGAAATCTACGGACACCCCCAGACCGCAACACACAGGTGACAGAATCTGATTTCTTGGCTGGAGGTTTCCAGGATGAATAAATAATGAACGGAGAGGAAGTGTTTACAATGAACCCGATACCAGTATTTGTTTCCTAAGTCAGCCGCGTAACATTCATATTGTTTTCTGATTGCTGGGAGGAGTCAGGCAGTGGAAGCTTCCGGGACATCTCCCTGGATTGGCTGTGCCGGTGTTGTTCTGTGCGTTTCCTGTCTGCAGCCATATTGCTCCATTACCTAACATGGCCGCGTGCCACTGACACTACCCCGAGATGAATCCCAGCTTCGTCCAATCTCTATCTCTCACCCTTATGGTGGCCAATAGAAACGTGCGATTAGCTTCGCTACAGATCGAAATTCGGAGGAAATTTTGTATATTCGGAGATTCCGATGTATCCGAATTACAGATGTAACGAATGCAAGCCAATCCGAATTTCCGATTCCGGAATTCATTAGCGGTAATCTGTACGAAATTTTGGTTTGTTGGACGAACTTTCGTTGCAGCAAAGTGACATTTGTGGGGGGAAATAAAAACTTTTTTTCCTCTTAAGCCCTCGGTCCCACCGGAACGTTTTGCGGCGGGTTCTACGCTCGACGAACGCTCTACAAAACGCTCAGAAATATAAATCGCGTTGTATTCAATGGTCTGGTTCCCACCTCGGCGTATTTCCGCCCGTCCCTAACGCGCTACAAAACGGCCCGCGCCTGGGAAGGTCCAGGTACTACTTTGGGCTGTTTTGTTGCGTTTCCATTGGGATACAGCCAAGCAGCCTTCGGAAACGCGCGCCTGTCGCGCGACTTTTTACCGCGAATCACGACGGACGCGCATATGCAATACGCCTAGGTGTGAACGAGACCTTAATGTCACTTTGCTGCAACCAACGAAACGAAATTTCGTACGAATTTCCTCCGATTCCGAAACGAATTGACTTTCGGATCCGAAAAACAAAATAACACAAAATTCGAATCAAAACGAAAAGAAACGAAACCAATGTTTTGCTGGTGCTCATGTCTGGTGGGCAATTATCCGCGTAGTCTTCAAATATTGCAAACCAAACAAAAGACATGTAAAAGAACAACACTGAGCTGCCTTGACCTTTGAACTTGTGCCGCCTGTTCTGCCCTTTTCCGATAGCCGCTGTGTGCCGTGTAAGGGGGCGTCCTATGACTCCCAGTGTAGAAGTGACAAGTCTTTCCGATATGTCTCACCCGCTTTTCTCTCTCTCTCTCTCCCGGCTCCTCCTGGCACAGATCCGCGTCGTGAAGGCATTCCGTAGCTCTCTCTATGAAGGTTTAGAAAAACCGGACTCTCGAACTTCCATTCACAACTTCATGACCCATCCAGAGTTTAAGATAGAAGATTCTCAGCCTCACATCCCTCCAATTGATGAAACAGATCTGGAGGAAGATCCTGCCCCGAAACAAGACTCCAGCCAGCCCCCGTCACCCAACAAGAACAACAACGCGCTGGATAGCGGGATAAACCTCACTACGGAGACCAGCAAATCAGCGACCTCTTCCAGCCCGGGGAGCCCCATACACAGCCTGGAGACGTCCCTTTAGCTGGCGCCGCTTCCTCATCACCACAACAAGGAATATTCATGTGTCTGGCTGGGTAAGATGTCTTCACATTCGGAGGCCGGCAGAGGAAGCTCCGTGTCCACGCAGTGCTGGCAGTGAGAACGTGGCAGGTTTATCACGATGGCCCGATGCTGCTGAAAAGACAAAACTTAGGACAATAAAAAGACGCCTTCCAACCATGTTCCTGCATGAATGTACACTAACAGTCCCTCCTTCCACTGCTTACATTTTTATACACCTCCGAGACTTTCCACGCACAGGGATGATGTGGAAGAA